TGCATTATACATATATTTACAATAATTACACGTAAACTAGTATAAAAAGATTACTGATATATAAGTTTCACAACTGCACTGTTATCATCTGTGTATATTTCAAAATTTATATAAATGAACAAGCCATTGCCATGTATATCATACAGCGAAACTCCACGATATATTTTTTTCGAAGCAATAAGTTTTTATGCATGTGTAATTAATTTGGTTTGATACTGAATCTTCATGAAACATTTGTGCATGATGGTTCATAAAATAAAATAATCTTTTTGCAGTAAACATGGTGATATGGGTTCGAAGAAATCCCAATTTTGTATTTTAAAGGGCGGTGGTCCTCGTGCAGCGCGTGTTCGAATTTCATGTAAATAAACAATGTATTTTACACGCGTTGTATACGTGGCTATGAGTCCCATATCGAACAGGATGTGGCGCGACGACCACCGCCCTTTAAGATAAATCATAAATCTTATCACGATGCAATATCAAAATATTTTAAATTATTTCTAATTGTTTCTAATGGACTGTGAGTGGTTTCAACAATACATGGATGTTTTTATAAAGTAAACGTCGCCAACAAATTTTACACGTACATATAATTACCGTCCGACACACGCAGTGGTCATAACAGGTTTAAACAAAAACACAAAGTGTAACACCATCACAATACATTCACATATGTCAAATATATGTAAATATTTTTTAAGAATACATTATTAGAAATAAAATATCATTTTATAATAATGGCACAATATAAGCACTGTTGATTATGAAAGACAGTATACTCGAAGACGTTATGACAAGGTATGTAATTATTATTATTATATACAATGTATAAGGCGCTACACACAAAACGTCACGCGTCTATTCTTAATTAGCATAAATTCCCATAATACATTAGAAATGTGTCACAGTTCACTGTGTGAGCTGTATTCTTCGCTGTTCACTTTACTGATTTATTCATTGATATCTTCCAATGCCGTTGAAAATTTCGTCAAGTCTAGCATATTTTTAAATCCCATGTCCTGCTTCAACGTGGCGTAGAAAAACTCTGGCGCCCTCATTTCCATCTTTTTCAATGCAATCAAGGATTTCCCGTTGTATCCGGTGAATCTCTTCTTCACGTGACCCAGCTCTGTGTCAGACAACCACTGCAGTACATCGTAATTGTTCCATTTCTCGAGAGAGGGGCGGTCTCCACGCGATGCGCTGGTTATCGCGGTAGCGTCTGCTGCTACCATTTTCTCTGCAATAAATGTGAATACGTCAGATGAACTGCAAGCTCTCGTCCAATACATACACAGACACAAACCATAAACATGCCGCATTTTACCGTAATTACTTTGTAATTGTTATGTAATTTTAATTATTTTTAGTATATTCAAACATTTTGTCACTTCCAAAACAACGATAAATCATACCATATTGTCGAGGTGCACTTTCAAACACAGATAAACTTCCCACACCATCTCTTTAAATATGCTACTGAACTTAATCTAATTCATAGTTTTGTATGTTTATATGGCCGCTCAGCGACCGCTCGCGACCTTAGCATAACATATATACGTATACATATCACTTAGGGTGACCTTTCGAACTGTACAACAACCAGTACTCACCGTGCGCTTTTACTTTCCCCGTCTTTGACGTTTTCCCACGCTCCCCCAGTTCTCTGATCAATTTAGACACTGTTTCGTTTAAATGTGAATCGGCACTCGCATCAAAGTACAACTTAGTTCCGACGAGAATTCCAAGCCAGCCATCGGGAGAGTAGTTCGCCTGTACTTGTATTGGGATGAAGTCTTTTCGTAGCTTATATGTGTATTCCGCCTCTGACGGAATAAAAGTGAAATTAATTAAGGTCGATACGTGTCGCCCATCGAGATCTATACAGGGCCAATCATAAATAAAATAGAACATAAAAACACGCATGAAATATCCCGATATTATATCGTGAAAGAATATACTTCTTTTGTCAGCGACACCATCAGCTTTGAATACTTCGTTCAAGTGTAACAGCGTCGAAAAATGATGAAATGTTATGATATCATGACGTATACCTGTACGACAACTTGGACTGTTTTTGTACTTTTCTGACATGCAAATGAGCACAACGTCTGCCTTTTCCACAGCTTCAGCCATTGCCTCTAACGTTGATCCAGCTATGGAAAGAACGTGACCATGAAATAACACGACACGAACACGACACAAACATAACATAACATAACATAACATAACATAACATTACATTACATTACATTACATTACATAACATAACATATCATAACATGGCGTGACGTAACATAACATAGCGTAACGTAACATAGCGTAACGTGGCGTGGCGTAACGTAACAACATAACATGAAATGACATGACTTGACATGACATGTATAGCCGTTATTGTGCCGCCAAATTGCCTCACGCGTAGCTACTTACCCATCTGATCTACATCCATCCATACACGAAAACCAGCCGCTTTCAAAAGGTCTTTCACCTTTATCATAACTTTCTGGCAATCCCATTGGTAGCTTATCATCACGTGACCAAGATTGGTTTCACCAGACTCCTCTTCGTCGTTGGACTTTAACTCAGCCATCAATTCGGCATGTTCGAGCTGCTGTTCCATGCCACCTAGTTGCCATAGTGCACCTGTACACGCCTTGCTGATGGCTTGATTACTGGATTCTTTCAATCGTTTAAGCTCTATGCAAACACATACATGTATTATTTGCAAGTGAAGTTAACCGGGCTTGATTGGTTCGCCCTATCTGCCTAGACACGGATAATTGTGGCGTTTACTGACGTTTAACAATTGTTCGAGGCACGGACATCAAGTTACGAAAACACCGAGTTACAAAAATGAACACGCCCATTTTTCAGAAACCACGTTCGTAATTCGAAGTTCAGTTTACTGTTAATCAAAGTTCGAGTCATTAAATTTGAACGTTTAAACAAAACAAAAAAATCTATTTTGCCCGTAACTCGAAGTGTGGACGTTCAACAAAAACAAAAATCTATTTTGCCCGTAACTCGAAGTGTGGACGTTCAACAAAAACAAAAATATGTATTGCCCATAACTCGAAGTTCTGTTAACTGGTAATCAAACATCGAGTTACAATTTGGGAGGTCTATAATATATTGGCGTAACTCGAACAATTCACCATCTTCTTACTTGAATATAGTCGCACTATTAAATGCACTGTTACATTGATTATAATATCAACTCACCGTCCAAACAATTTGGCTCGGCTTTGATTCTTTCTTTATTATTCTCGTGAAAAGCCAAATTCCAGATAGCAACTGCTGCTTTTTCATTCTCTCTGTCTGTGCAGTCGTCACAGAGCAATTTTACTAACAACGGAAGAACATTCTTGTCCACTAGTTTTTCCTGGAAATAAAGACAAACTGTACTTGTACATTGCAAACTCAGTGTAAGTAACATACAACATACATTTTCTCAAAGTACGCCCTCTATCGACTATTAAAATCCGTGACGCAATAACCAACGTCGTTCAATCAGACAATTTTGTTTGGTTGTAAAGTTTTTCGTCATTTTGAATATGGTAGATCATTACAATTGTATTTTCTTAAATTGTCGGACGACCACAGATCTAAATCAACAATGGCGTCTTCATGTCACTTTACGTCATTAAAGGGCGCGATTTTTAGGAACGATGTAGTCAGATTACTTCATTGAAATCCCATATACTACATAAGTTCCGGAACCGACTATAACATTGCTCATTACTGACTTTTAACTCGTGTAAGAATTAATCAAGATAGTTTGTCGTATATTTGCTTTTATAATTCACGCGGCGTAGTTTGATGATTTCCGGATAATTACCATTTTCAAGTAGCTTTGATTTAAATCTACATACATGTAGTTTACCTTGTTTGTATCATTAGCGGCGAGGTGTATGATCCCATCGACAATCTCTAACGCAGTAAATGTATAATCACCAACTTCACACATGTGATGACTGTATGTGTTTTCGATCGACTTTTTCAGCGTTGTGATGAAAAAATCCATCTCCTCTCCGGCGCTGATCATGTGATTCTCATCTTCGTTCACGATGTACACCAATGTGAAGAGAGAATTTGCCCGGATGCTCGGGTTTTTACAGTTTTCGACGTACTTATGTAGCAGTTTAACTGCATTGGCTTCGCGGAAATAGGGTTTGTTATCGGACCAGTTTTTGATAGAGTTGTGCATGCACATGATAGTACTCCTGAGCATGCCGTAGATGGCGTCCTCTTCCATAACGCTGCTTTCTTCCGATATCTCACTGGGCTGTAATCTGGGATTCTCCAAATCCGTAACTAAGCGCCCAATGACGCCTTCCTGACCAATTTTACACGAGAACCTAACAGAGCTGTCACATAATCCGCCTATCATGGTTTTACACCCTTCAAAAAGAGCAAACGCATATATCACACTTTGTTCTTTACTATCCAATCCTTCGTCTATCGGATTTCGTATTTTATCCCACAGATTTGCAAATACTCTGGGAAAGTTGATATCAGCCAAAAAAATTCCGTATTTCTTCATTTTCGGCATGTTGTCATAAGAAGAGAAGTCACCAAGCACGCTGTCCACGCTTAGTAGAGTGTCCAAACCAGCTTGGGTGCTAATAGACTCAACGTCGGCTTTATCGAGATACTCGACCAAGGCACGCAGTTTTTCTTTCCCCTCTATTATTTCTGGAGTGTCTTCCATGAGATCCTCTTCATCTTCTAGCTGCGAAAACATTAGGGCATTACGGTATGTATTTTTACGTGTTGATTCCAATTTAGTTGGTGTCCCTGAGACGTCCACGTTGCCGGTGGCGCTTGCTCCACAACCCATTGTCAGTCTTCTAAGTTGATATCAATTTTTCAGTCTCAAACCCTGTAGTATGAATAACGATAACGTAATCAGTATTTATTCATTTATTTTTTGTGTCAGTACATACGTCTGTCATTTCAACATTTACCTTTCTATCTATTACACATTTCTATTCATACCAGGTATTCTTGTACTTCTAGTTGTAGTGTATCTAAAGGGCAATGGTCGCTGCGGCACGCATGCGCGAAATATTGGACTCATATGAACAAAGAAAGCGACTTTGACTGTGGCGCGTACCAACGAATATAAACTGAGGCGTTACTATGAAGCGAGGGAGTCGTCAACTGCGCATGCGTCAGATGGCCATAGCGTGTCATTGTTTACAAACAAGCGTCTACCCACGAGCCTTTGCGTTTTTAGCGTGTGTTGTACTCAATTCCCGTGCGTGCGCAGGTGACGACCCTCCCGCTTTAACTATGTAATTTCTTTGGTGATTGGAAGGTATCGAAGGAGTCACCGGTGGTAGTAGTGCGCATTGCGCCCAGGTCAAAATTCGTACTCGCAATTTCCGTCAGAAGAGCACATTGGATTGTGGGAAAATCAATGTTTGTCAACACAAATGTCGCACATGCGCAGCGCGACGACCACTGTTCATGAAAAATAGATCTTGTATAGTTTACCTACAAGAAGAATGCATCATGTAAATTGGAAAACGATACTTTTCTTTCCCAAAACGTGTTTTACGTATATTTTATTTGTTGGCAAATAAATGTTTTCTTAATCAACCCATCACCGTGGTAATGCAAGGTAAACGGTGATAATTTGTATTTCATGTTAATTCTGCAGTGATTGGGGTGCTCAAGCGCACACCACACAACATGTGCATCGTTTTTGTCATTTTGTTAATAGTAGTGCGTTTGAATTGGCCTAAAATAGCAGAATAAACATTTAGTCAGGTAAAACGTAGAAACTCTCTTTTTTTGTTTATGTTACGTACAATTGATAAGTTTTGAGTTCCGTCGTCATCTTGAAAGCTTGCGCGTATAGGCCCGGGTGCAAACACGTTCCAATTTCGTCTGCGTATGGGTGGGGTGATTTCACTGCGTAAACGTTCGAGCGAAACCAACGAACACATTGCGTGAGCTCGAAATCAACCTCCCCATTCTCGCACAGAAAACGAATGGTGGCGCTATAACTAGAAACTCGTCTGTTGCACTATGTTTTCATCCCAATGCTACTAATATATATATTTCCAAAGATGCATTACTAGATGAGAACGCGGAATATTTAATACTGTTAGGTACTGCATCATTATGAACAAATTGTATTATGAGTTATCATCAACTGAATAAATAAAAAAAATGATTTACTGTGCGATTATTATGAAAGGTCACAGTCCCTCCAAGGGACTGTGGAAAGGTATAATGTTCATTACTTGTACCACGTGGTCATATCGTATGTAGCGCGTTGCGTAAACAGCCTATTGATAGAAGAGCAGTTTATCCTCGGGGGCGGACATCCGGGCATTTTCACCGCCTGGCAACCGGCGGCGGTGAAAACAAAGGCCCAAAACTCGCAGAAAACGGTACTTTGGGGTGATTGTTGAGACTCCTCTGAACAGTGCAACAAGATTAGCCCTACGTGTGTAACATATATAAATTTGATTGTTCGGGATTACTTCAAAGTTGAGTTTGTATTGTTTTCTCGAATTTTCACCGGCTCGACCGGCGTTCCACAGCAGCGCACAGAGCCCATGGAAATGCATGGTACAGTAGTGCGCGTCTTAGCAACGTGGAACGTCTGTGACGTAGCTCCGCCCCCGAGGATAGAACCAATGGGTGATGTACCCAACAATTTAAAACAATGGTTTCTCTAATGTTTGAATACAAATATTAAAGAGGATGAAAGCAAGTACATATAAATCACATGAGTACTGGCCACACTGGGTTAGTTGCTTTGGTTGAGTATTCGTCAAGTAGATCGTGTTAGTCTGCCATTTAAAAAAATACTACTCCTTATTTAAGATTTGGTTAAGCTGTTAACATATTCAATAACATAGTTCGAAATGCTAATATGGGATTCCTTGCAAGGAAAGTCCTATCGGCAAAGGGTGTGCATGACAACACTGCGATAACTTGAAAGAATTTCTGTTTCGACATTGTGTAATATTCTTGTGTAATCGGTAATTATGAACATTATGTATGGGTGCATAGGGAATATATTTCGTAATGAATTATTTTTACCGGTAATATAAATTTCTAAATTATCTTGTCAGAATCGTTTTTTTCCTCCCCAAAACGAAAGAACTTCACAATGTCGAAAACATAAAGTTGTTATCGTATACGTCGTTATGACATATGTCTATGTTCTTACATACAAGTTTTCCTTGCACGAGGAATATAGAACGCTATATACTTTTCGGCGTAACAGAAAATGCAGTGACCGTTAAAGCAAACATTTTGCATGATGTGCATTGCTAACCAGTTCAAATTGAGCATTCACTGCAAGTAATGGGACGTAAGTTATTACCACAACACTTGGCACTACGGTCATGTATCGCTCTGTAAATGACTACCCCTTGAAACCAATCTTCCGTTTGAGGCTACTTCCTGGCTCTACGGAGGTTAATCGCTCGTACATGAATACCTATGTCACCACGATGGTGTGTCGCCCGTCCGTGATTCACCCCCTGGCTCTACGGTGGTGTATCGCCGTCCGTGACTACCCCTTTGCACTAAGACAGTTTACCGCTCGTCCATAACCAACCCTTACCTAAAATCAGAACTACAAACCATTTCAGGGTACGGACCGCGCACGAGACAGAAATAATAGCTAATCGTGTCCTATTGTCGATAGATCGTCGAGATTTGTAAAATAAAACATACATACGCGTCCATTGGTTTCCCTCGCTATCGATAAACGTCTGGGTGTTGATTGCGTCTGGTCTTGAATTAAATCTGCGCGACTCTGGTGACGTTTTCAATCAACATGGTGGATCGTTGAGCACGCCCACCGAGTGGTTCAGCCGCCCAAGTAAAAAGTTGTGACATGTTACCACGCCAACCAAGTAAGAGACAGTAATGTTTTAAATAACAATCGAGTCGTACAATAATAGCTACTCGTTCTGTTAAATAACAAAGACTTGGCCCGTCACCTACATACTGGGTGTATTGGAGGTCACACAGTCCCCGTGTTTCGAGATTTCATACTGTTTTGACGCTATACACAGGTGTATTTATTCAGACATTTGTCGTCGGACTTGAAAGACAATTGTCAAGTATTGACGTAGTGCTCGCACAGATGTTGGGGTCACCGGGGAAGTGGCATGGTGATTAACTAAACACCACAATGGGACCATGTCCACGTGAAATGAGCAACCTGAGTATTGCATATAGTATTTCAGCTCCAGGGAGTTTGTTAACGCACAACATAATAAACACCTAGCACCTAGCTCGTATCGCACGAGTTGTATCATTGTATGTGAAAACTACTTTCTGTTAAAGGCTCTGGTCAGTATGCTTAATCTTAGTGTGTTGGTGGCGCAAGTGTATTTCCAGTTTGAGTTGTGGTTGGAATCTCCACACACAAATAATTTATATTCGCATACCACCACTGGTGTAATATTATTAGTCACGTCGTTTTACCTTGGGATATGTACAACATAAAAACCGATAAAAAATACTCGATATGAACTTGAAGGAACCTTGATTTTTTGTATAAATCTTACACAGGATGGGTACATAGGCGTTTAACTAAGTTGACGCGAACAAGATACTGAACGTAATGTAAAACATTGACAGAGTGGAAAAATGTGTTTATATGCATTGAATTGTATTGTACATACTAAGTATATGTATTATTCTCGTTTCAACGGTACATTTTTTTTCATTGAACGAATACTATTTGGTGTGTGGTCGAAATATTTTTTTCTAGTTCATAATAAATCATAATCCAACATTGCGATAAAGACTTTCAGTTTCTGACATTGTGAATTTTTTTTCGTTTTTATGCAGCAAAATACAGTATTTTTACCAAATAAAACCTTATTTATTAAAGTTATTGTTCATACATGAGATGTTGAACACACTACTTAGTTTGTAATTTCATCCAGCTCCTTTCAGTCATAATTCAAGACAAATAAAAGGCAAAAATATAGAAAATATGGCAATTTATCTTTTTTCTGTAATATTCTTGTGTAATCAGTAATTATGAAAATTATTTACAGGTGCATAGGGAATACATTTCGTTATAAATAATTTGTAATATAAATTTCTGAATTTTTTCAAAATCCGTTTTTTCAGACTTTTTTCTCCCAAAAAACGAAAGAATTTTACAATGTCGAAAACGGAAAGTCTTTATCGTAGTGCTCTCACTATGACACGATTATTACGCGTAAATAATTATCTATTTTTCTTTACCATGGGTATGTGACTAAGAAACAGTAAGATACTAATATAAAATTGGTGTGAAGTCGCGCTAATTGCGAGATGATCACAGAATTGCCAGGCTAACCAATGCAAATGAGTGAGTCAGGTATTTTTTCTAGTTCTTTGCGTATTTGCAAATTTCTTGCTCATTTCTATTTCCACAATCAATCAATACCTAAATAGGTTCGCTTCACGCGTGCATGGAACTCAGACGGATTCGGATCTTCATCACTTTTGACCGTACATGGTGATATATATTTCAACAATGTTAGTTTACGTTCTTTATGTTACATATCACGTCACGTATACACCACTACCCGTAAAGAACCAGTGTTATTTTTTCTTAGCTCGTTTCATTTTGGCGTCTTCGCCAGTAAAACATTATTCTGAATAACATATGGGTGAGTTGAAGTAAAATGATCACAAGTATGATAGCTGTAAAATTGTCTGATGATTTAAAGGGTGGTGTTCGTGGCGCCGCGTCCTGTTCGATATGGGACTTATAGCGAACAGAGTGGAGCCTGCTGAAGTCGCTCTCCGAGAATTACAAGTATTTTCAGCGGTATATCACTCAACAGTAGTTTCCATAGCAATTATCCAACGAGGTTTGTACTTCTCACTATCTCAGTAATAATGGGAGTATCTTTAGAAGTTTATAGAGCCAGAATCGGGAGTTTTTCTTGTCGAAATCGCCAGGGTGACGAAGATGAGTGGACATGTGCATGTTTAGCGACCTCATTTGCATATTTAACAGGACAAGTGACACTTGCTGTACAAATATGTCTATTCAAGCAGTTAATTATCGGTAACGTTGAACGTAATCCAGGACCTCATACAGGCCAGAAAGGTAATGGGGTGGATACAGAGTGTTCAGCAGATCAAATAACACATACGTATGCTACAAAAAATGACATCTCTGAGATGAATAATTCTTTGTCTCGACAACTAGCAGCGATTCTGACAGAATCACAGGCAACGCATGAATAATCTAGAAGATGACGTTGCCGAGATGCGTACAGAAATCAATGATTTCAAAAGTGAAATACGCAAATCAAATCCTACCAATTTAGAGGGCCATTCCTTTTCATACAGTTCAGATGTATTGAACGGGATTCGTGAACTAAAATCAGAGTTAAAAGAACTACATAGTAAATATGACGACATGAGTAACAGATCTCGCCGAAATAACCTAGTATTTAAAGGGGTCCACCAGGAGAAAAGTTCGGAATCGTGGGAAGAGTCTGAAATCATCGTAAAAAGCATAATTAACGACAAATTAGGAATTACTTCAAATGTGGAATTTCAAAGAGTGCATCGTGTTGTCAACGGCCCGTTTTTCAATGGCGGAAAACTTATCGTCGCCATGTGTACTAACTACAAGGACAAAGAAATTATCGTAAAAAACGCGTAGCGGCTACAAGGATCAAATATGTATATTGATGAGGACTATTCAAAAGACATCAGATTTAAAAGGAAAAAATTGTTCGAGTTCAGAAAAGCGTTGAAGAATGATGAGCTTAACATACGTGAATTACGACAAACTGCCCGTGAAGAAACAGAGTGGAAAACGAACACTGTACGAATACGACGACGCTCAACATAAAGTGATCATATTCCAACCAAAGTAGCAGTCTGGTCAACGCCCTCATGAAATTGACAACATTACAGTGAAATTACTTTTTTGGAACGTTAGAGGTTTGAAAGGTAAATGGGACGATACAGAATTTATTGCATATTTAAAACAATTTGATATTATTGCTCTAACTGAAACCTTTGTAGATTCATGCACCTTTAATTTAGAAAATTATTGTACTTATTATGTTGACGCACAGCGATCCGGTAATAAGGGGAGACACTCGGGTGGTATTTTTACCATCTTCTCGCAATTTGTTGAGAAAATGCGATGCTCAAAAAATTCTATTCTTGGCTAAAGTTAGAAGTGCCAAATAAAAACGTACTCCTCCTTGGTGCTGTGTACATACGACCTGTTGGGTCTCACTATGCTAACGACACTATTTTTGCAGAAATTGAATCTGATATAGTAAATCTATTCAGACGTTATTATGGCGCAAATGTGTTATTAATATGAGACTTTAATGCACGGACAGGGGTACTAAATGACTTTATCGAAGATGAAAATTCTACTCATATGCCTATTGGTGACACACACATTGCTAATATTGATATTGGCGTGCGTAGTAACTGTGATGTAGAAAACAATAATTATGGAGATAAGTTATTGAGTGTATGCAAAACCACCGACCGATCTTAGGAACATAAATGGACGTGGACCCTCTGACACCATAGGGCACTTTACATGCATAACTTACAATGGGGCTAGTATGATCACAAACTATTTTTAGCACTATATCTGATTTGCATGTTGGATGTAGAACTGAATCGGACCACATGCCATTTGAATGCACCATAGATGGGTATTTTATTGGTAATCGTCAAACTGTAGCTGTTAATAATAAAAGCATGCCACAATTTAGGAGATATTATGTGAATCGGGAATCATGTAAAATATTCCAAGCAAAATGGATAGAAGGTGACTTTGATCATGTGATCCAAACCATTCAGTTGGACACTGATATTGGTGATATAAATGGGGCTCTCTAAACTATCAGATTTATTCATGAATACTCGACCACGCAGGCGCCAGAATAACAAGAGTGTAAGCATTCACTGTGCTAGGTGGTTTGATACTGAATGCAATAACGCTAAGTTAGATTTACAAAGAAAACTACGACAATTTCGTACTAGCAAAAAAGAATACAGCGATATGCTTATAAAAAAGAAAAAGGTCTATCAAAATAATCAAATACCCGAGTTAGAAAAAGCCGCTCGTGACAGTGATAGCAAAAAGTTTTGGGGATTCTTCCGAAATGCAGACGAGCCCACACCACCCTCAATTAGGCCAACTGAATGGTTTAATTATTTCAATTCTTTATTTAATCCAGTTATTAATGTGGAAAAAACACTGAGCACGACAATTTGTGGAGCAGTATTGAATCTGCTGTCCAGGATGGTAATTTTAACTACTCACACGAGAACCAAATTACAGTTGAAATTTGGTAAATCACGAGGCAGCGATGGCATACCGCCTGAATTTTACAAATTTTGCTCTCCTCAATTAATTCAATTATTACATGGCATCTTCAACAGTATTTTCGATACAACCATTTCCCCTAAGCAATGGTGTGAAGGTATTGTATTCCCGATACATAAAAATGATTCTAGGAATAAGGCTTGTAATTATCGGGGTATCACATTACTACCAATATTAAGTAAAATTGTCAATAGAATTTTATACAATAGGCTACATAAATGGGATGAAATTATTGAATTTACTAGAGAAAAACAAGCGGGTTTCAGGGCAGGCTATAGCACATAGACAACGTATTTATTATTCACACATTGGTACAAAAACATCTTGCAACTAAACGGGGACGTTTCTGTTGTGCTTTTATTGACTTCGAAAAAGCATTCGACCGAGTCAATCGGGTAGCTTTATTTTTCAAACTTGGTAAAGCAGGTATTAGAGGTAAAATGTATTCCATTCTTAGCTCTATGTATTTACAATTCTTTTTTTTTTTTATAAATGACCTCCACGTAGAAGACAAGCTTTTACGTGATAGTTCTGGTTGTTCTGTGGGTTTAATTAAGTTATTTTATCTTCTTTTTGCGGATGATTTAGTTTTGATGTCTTACAATGCAATTGGATTGCAAAGATTACAATAAGTTGAAATCATATTGTGATAATTATCATTTGAGAGTTAATTTAACCAAAACCAATGTAATAGTTTTTAGAAATGGAGGACCGTTACGAAGATACGAGCAGTGGCGATACGATGGAAAAATAATTGAAGTAGTGCCGTATTACGTTTATTTGGGTATAAAATTCTCACTACGTGGTTCTTGGTCATTATGCCAACAACATCTAGCAGATCAGGCAACAAAAGCGCTCCATGCACTAATGGTTATTATATGTAAAATTGGACCAGTGTCTATTTCTCTGTGTTTTAAAATATTTGTTACAAAAATTGTTTCAATAAAGCAATGGGGTAGCGAGAAAAATACTATTTAGTTACGGATTTGGAGATTTGTGGTACATGATGAAAATGCGTTTCTTGGCTTGTTTCGTCAGCGGTGTTTTGACATCGATCTCCAAAAATGGTGTGGTGTTGTAGACTTATTTGAAAGATTAACTTCATATAAACTATAAAAACGTAACCTGGAACTGGAATCGTATCTTATAATTGAAATGAAAACAGTTTTTCGACTTGCTATGTTAAAATTCAGAACATCATCACATAGTTTAATGATTGAAAAGGGACGCCGCCTAAACATACCGAGACCAACAGGATCTGTCCAGTTTGTCGTAGTGGGGTTGAAGATGAGTTTCATTTTTTACTTCTCTGTCCCGCCTACGACGAGCTGAGGCAGCGCTATATTCCAAACATATACACTAAGCAGCCCCGCCTACAACACCAGTTCATTAACCTAATGACCAACAAAAATCCACAAACTGTTAGAAATTGTGCTAAATATTTATTTTATTCTTTTCTTAATAGAGAAACGTTGTTAGAGGAAGTAATTCTTAATGATATCTAACTATTGTATTTAATTTTTGTTTAAAATCTTTACCATGTGTAACCTGTGACAGCATATACTAGAAATGTACTTAGTGTACTTAGGGCCGGCGGCCTATGGTACTTTGGAAATAAACATTATTATTATTATTATAGCGACGTATACAACGCCGTAAAATACATTGTTTATTTACATGAAATTGGAACACGCGCTGCGCGACGACCACCGCGCTTCAAATTTTAACATTCGGAGTTACTCGTAGTTTGATGATAGCGTGATTAGTGCGGTCTTGGACGTTGCTGCATACGGTTAAGTCCAGCCACACCGAATTGGCTTCCGTAAAAAACACTGTTATACGAAAGACCATATATAGATTGTATCCCGTCTTTCCGAACCTTAAATCGGGAGGGTCGACACCTGCGCACGCACGTCCCAAGCGACGATAACAACACACGCTAAAAACGCAAAGGCTCATGGGTAAACGCTTGTTTGTAAACAATGACACGCTATAGCCATCTGACGCATACGCAGGTGACGACTCCCCCGCTTTAAAGGGCGCTGGTCGTCGCGCAGAGCGTGTTCGAATTTCTTGTAAGCAAACAATGTATTTTACACGCGCTGTGTACGTCGCTATGAGTCCCACATCGAACAGGACGCAGCGCGACGACCATCGCACTTTAACGCTACCTGTCCACGCGACAGACGGCCATAGCGTGTCGCTGTTTACAAACATGCATCTACCCATGGGCCTTTGCGTTTTTTAGCGTGCGTTGACTTGTTATCGTCGCTTGGAACTCAATACTCGCGCTAGCGATAACCCCTTCAATATTGAAGATACACTACACGAGTGCGTCCTATGCACCTGAGTCTGAGGCTATGAAGAACACACTGGATAAAACAGTCTTGTAACAATAAACGTTACAAATCCAGCTTTTCATGATTTCCACTTTTTTCAAAATGTCATTGCACATATCATGGAAGGTATTAACGTTAGTACCTTCCATGTACATATCAAGTACGGTTCTGTATTTGACTTCCAAATCATCTAAAACAGTATGGGTATAGTTAGGCATCACTACCTAGTCTTGTCGGTTTTGTCACCTCTTTCGAAAGAAGATTCTTGCTATGTTGTGCGATGTTTCCGTCCCAGCTTTTCCCATCTTGCATTTTTTTTTTGTGGTAAACCAATAAATAATAGTTCATCTTGCCGAGACTACCATTACCACGCAACCTTGCACGATGTGCTACTCCAAGTACTGATTTCATATCCACTTTTTTTCGCAGCAAGAATAACTATGAAAAAAATACTCATCAGATGCAAATGGCGTCTGAAACTTTCGTTCATCTTGTAACTTTGCAGTTGTTATAATTTACGTACACCGTCACTCTGCTGCTCTATATATTTAGACGTTGTTATTCGTGATCCACATTGACGTTGGAACGTGTTCGTTTGTCATTATTAATTTCCGTAAAGCCGGACAAATGTGTTGACATATCACCATTATGAAGTATTATCTCAGACGTGCCGTGCGAGAGCTAACCGTAAATACAGTGATAACACACGAATAACTATAGGTCGGGACATACGCATAACGATCACTGCATAGCAACGACTGGAAGCTGCAGTGAGCGTAATTCGCTCGTTAAAGGGCGGTAGTCGTCGCGCCACGCATGCGCGAGATATATGGGTCTCATATAAACAAAGATGGGGACTTTGACTGTTGCGCAGATCAACGAGTACGAACTGAGACGTTTTTAAGCTTTAATTGGGTAATTTTTTGGTGATTGAAAGGTATCGCAGGAGTCACCAGCGGTATTCAGTGCAAGACGCGCCCAGGGCAAAGCTCATACTTGTGATTTCCATTTGAAGAGCGCCTTGGATTGTGGGAAAATCAATGTTTATCAACACAAATGTCGCACATGCGCAGCGCGACGACCACCGCGCTTTAACTAACATAATTTTTTGATATAAAACAACAGTTTAGTTGCTTCCAAAACACGTGGTCAAAATAGAAATGTGTAAACTACAAACACAGGAGTATTTTGCCACAATAGTTTATAAACGTATTTATTTCATATTATCATCATTGTTAACTCTCTTACTACCTGCAATATACAAAATTTCACATTAGGTTGTATTTTCAAAATACAATGTAAAGGTCAAATTCATGTTTACTCCACACAAGATGCGATATTAAGGGTCCTGTATATATATGATTTGTGAATTAGCTCAATACTCCCAGGGCGGTTGTTTTTGAATCAAGGAAACGGGAACTACATTTTAGAGCCAATGTACATCTCAAGCGTGTTTTGAAGCATTATTGTATACATCCGCCAGTTTTACCTCTGACCTCCCGTTACGTTTAATGACTTGGAACAGTAGCGTCTTTCTGCATCTAGGGAAAACGGTATTCGGTTTATTCTTCTCTACACATTTGTGCACTTCTTTTGTGAAATGTCTTTTTTGTGAACGTTTCTTCTCTGTTCGAAGGCAATACCTGTATCGGCTGCACCGCACATGTGTTTATTCACAAAATTGTATCTCCCAATCTCAACACGCCAATTCAGAGCAAGCATTTTCTGATTGGTCCGGGAAGACTCGGCTAAGAATTTGATTCGAAAATCGAGTATATCAAGCGGGTGAAAGCATGAATCTGCGAACCTTCAGAAGAAATAAGGTAAGCCTAACTAGACAGTACTTCTGTCTGCGCAGTAGTCGTAAACAACATTGATTGTAAATTTGAACACAGTGCATCCCTTTATGTGTGGCTAAAACTCGAGTGTTCTAATGATATGAAGATGACCTTCATTGATAGGTACATGTATAATAACCATAAAAATGTCAAGAGCACATTTGTCGGTACATTGATAGTTATATTGGGCAGATAATCAAATTGTTCGTAAATACATGCCCTTTTAACCCCCCGAATTCAAAGGGCATAAAAAAAACACTAACCGGTCCGTAAATTTATATTAACATGCGTGGCGAAGTTACTTACCGAGAATTATAGGGATATTGGATTGAAACCTTTGTAAATTTTCAAAACTACCGGATTTGTGGCTAAATCTATGAAAGTAAACAGCGAAAAATTTAACTAAAAAATTAAATGCTTTCAAAATCGCCGTTTATATTAGAAAATGTGTGTGTGAATTTTGTTTCTTCGTCTGTGATATTTGTTCAATTTCGGACTTTTTTTCTATCATTGTTTTGTAATACATGCAGCTAGTCTAAGAGTAACTGCGCATACTTAGGTCTCCAAGTCACTGTTGCTTTGGGGTTCTTGTATTCCAGTTGCCCATTTATTGCTTTAGAGTCACGCGCACCTCGTCGCATTCGGGTCATGCGCATTTATCGCATCCTTGTCTTCTAGTGGCCCCTGGACCATTTCGGGCAACGCATTCATTATCGCATTCGGGTCTCCCACTGATTGAATTCGGGTAGCACGTTGATTGCACTAGGCTATGATTATATTTGAGTCGTTCAATGACGCGTATTGATTAAATTTTCGTTCAACTATAAATCCTCGCTGATTGGCTACTGAGTCGGATGAAAATAACAGTTTCAAATAACGCGAGAACGTGTTATAGATTTTGTGCCTAATCAGGTGTTCGTATGCAAAGAATTTTTCTTCATATTCAAAATGTAGAGAATTTTCACTGTTTTTGTATTTCATAATTTACTTTTTTGGGTCTGGGCTGGATTCAAGAGCCCCCCCCCCCCATTTAGTAAATATTAGTACAATCAGTCGCATTTATTTTATTATCATTTATTATTATTATTTAATTTAAAGGGCAGCAGTCGTCGCGCCGCGTCGTGTTCGATATGGGACTAATAACGACGTTTACAACGCGTGTAAAATACATTTACATGAAATTCGAACAAGCGCTGCGCGACGACCACCGCGCTTCAACCACTTGTCACATTCGAGTCGCTCATTGATCGAATTCAGATCGCCGTTTGATTATATTCTTATTTGTATCGCGATTCTATTGATTTGGGTCACGTACTATTAACAATCGTTCGCATTCGCCATCCTAAAGTACGCAAGAGTAAAGATCAAACAGTTTGTGCCAGTTTAGTTTTAAATTTCATGTGTCTGATTTCAGATTGCTTCAGACTTGTGTAAGAGGACATGAACGAGCACAATATACGAGTTGTCATGTTATAGCGTGATTAACGTAAATATACTAGTATATAATTTGTTTTTGTTAATTAAGGTTTCAGACCTGATAGCAGCCCGTCACGTGCTGGCAATCTGGTTTTTCTTTGGAATGCTGAATGCATACACGATGCGAAATAATCTCAGTGTTGCCATCGTTGCCATGGTGAATAGTACTGGGCATGACAGCGATGCACAGGATAGTGCAGACGAATGTGGTATAAATGCAACCGTCACTGAGGAGGAAGAGGTAAGGACATACCTACATCGGCTTGTCATACGTAAATTTTACGGTGAATATGGAATTTAATATTGAACTCAAGAGCAGTTTTTTCTAGGCACTGACGGACCCACCTCAAATTGTCCAACAGTCGTTTATTTGTTAATCGCGTATCATACATTTGTTTAAAGCGGGAGCGACGATAACAACACACGTTAAAACGCAAAGCCTCATGGGTAGACGCTTGTTTGTAAACAATGAAACGCCATGGCCATCTGACGCATGCGCAGGTTACGACTCCCCCGCTTTAAGGTAGAGATGCTGTTTACCTGACAGGTATTTTAATTAGTTAATTAGGAAACCAAGATGACCTCCCTGGTCCACAAAACTATATATTTTCAGAAAGCACATTGTATGAATTTTAAAAATTTTTAGTATTTTTTTTATGGACACTGTAGTTTGAAATATGCACAAAAATGTGCTTTTTTGGTCAAAAGTGATTTAAAAAAAATAGCTCCTAAACCATGCTTCTGTTTCCTGTCAAACTTGGTTTGTGGGTACATCTGTTTACTATGAAGAAAGTGCCGTCTTGAAAACTGGAGCTATTTTTTTTAAGTTCTGGGATGTGCACTAAAAAGAAGCTGAGATAATTGCTAATTTGCATAACAATTCACTCAGTAAGAAGTGTGCTAATGCTCATAATACAAATGGCTGTAACAGTTCCAAATTTAAATGTATTATCGTTTTGTTAAAATATAGTGCATAATATGGAGATCCCGTCATTTCTTTTATTTCACCATGTTTCTTTTTTATTATTTATGTACAGCCTTGCTAAATCTTGCTAAGCATTCAAAAGAGAGAATGTTTGCACCTGTTATCTATATTTTAAAATCGTTTTTTGAGTATGTTCCACTATTCACAATTCTCCAAAATTTAACAGTATATTGCCAAGACTGTTTAGATAATAAAAAACAAAAAATAAAAAAAAATCACTCCCAAGGGCTCACAAACATGCATCTCTACCTTAATTGTTTGTATTAAGAAATCAAAACAAAAAGAAATATTCCAAGACAGTATAAGATGAAGTACAAAATATCATATTTTTCAGTTTCTGCTGTAAATCATAATTATCACTATAGTATAATATAACAAATCTTGTATTTCATGCTCATATGTTTGTATATGTAAATTAGATGAACGGATCAATCCATGTAGATTTGACTATACATGCATATATATTATTGGAAAGTATTGAGACATGTTATAAACTAACGTTATATATTACTAGACGGGAGATTTCAACTGGAGTAGTTACCAAGAAGGAATTCTGCTTGGAGCTTTCTACTATGGTTACACGATTACACAGATTCCGGGAGGATGGCTTGAAAGAAAATTCGGAGCAATGCGTGTGTATGGTGGCAGCATTTTATTCTGTGCCATATTAACAATGCTCACACCGGCTGCAGCTTGGCTTGGTTTTGGAGCCATTTTCACTTGTCGGTTTCTCTTAGGATTTTGCCAGGTGTATATTAAAATATTTTTGAAAGTCAGTCGACATAGAGTATCGTGTTTTACAACAAACTGATTTATAAGTTGACTGTTTCATTGAATTATACTCAGACGAATTTTCTGTTATTTCATTGAAATCGTAATATTTCATAATAATTAACCACAGAAACGTGTACTGTCATTACAGGGTCCAGTTTTCCCATCATCGTATGGAATGTGGGGTAAATGGGCGCCACCTCTAGAGAGAAGCAGACTGATATCTTTCAGCAATTCTGGTAGGTGGTACACCCAGAGTGCGAGAGAAAAAAAGGGTTGAAATAACATCTGTTATTCCTTGTGTGGTGATTCTTAAAGGGTGGTGGTCGTCGCGCATATCGAACAGAGCGCGACGCGACGGCCTCCATTGTTCGTTTACTTCGTCTATTAGTATGTATTCATTGTGCACACATTGAAGATGAAACTACCCTGAACACTCAGGTTTAAGGTTAAGATTAGTAACTACATAAAAAAAACGGGAGTAAAACCCTAGACAACTAGTTAGTTTGCTGTTTTGCTGTTTTCCAGTTTTAGCTTATTTACAGTGTCATTGGTTCGTAGGAGTAGGATTGCATGCTGTAAGGATAATGTATTTTGCCCTGGTGGACGTTGAACCGCGAAGGTTAGGTTTTCAATGCCATACACAAATATGCGAATTGCTCTGATCTTAATGATATATACGTGTGAATGAGTGGCAATATCGGAAATATTGCGATAACACCTTATCTCCCTTGCCGGTCGCTAAGGTACAATTAAAATGTCGTTTTAGTTTGTCTGTGACATGTTTTTTTTATATGACTGTGGCACACATCGTTCCCTAACATCTTGGGAAATTGTATTGCAAAATTCGAAGTCAATTCTTATGCATGATCTCCTGATAAATTATAAAGGATTAAACACGAGTTTCTAAATGCCTAAATGATTCGATATAATGTCACGAAGAACTTTACAAAGGGGCGCCCACAAGCAAAAACACGAAGGTAATAATTACAAGTAATAAACAGTTGCATCCAGGTGTTATGTTGATATCTACAATTGCTTGAATGATTCTCACATACATATAGATCAACTTCATCGAATTAGTAAAAATGTGCTTGTTACATAAGATGAATAAAAAATGTCAACAAGGTCAATAGGTCTCGAGATATAGAAAAGATTTGTATTACGGTACAATAGAAACGAATACCATACACAAACGTATCGAGACAAAGAACAATTCAAACAAGAAATGGTTTTGTTAGATATTTCCTTTCTTAATATATTTTTTATTATCAACAAATTATACTTTTATAATGAAATTGCGAGGGTTAAAGCATGCTAGAAGCCTTGTACAGAAATTATTATTACATAATTCCAGTCCCTACATATCAACCCATAATATGCACCCAATAACAGTCTCGAGCTTCTCGATCGAAGTAAATGCACCAATAGTTCATCCGATGGACACAATTAAACCTGACTCACTTGGACGCCAAAAAAACTGTAAAATAAAATAGTGTTAATTTAATAAGGAGAATGGACAACAATAAAGTGTTCCCAGTTCCCAGTTCCCCGGATTCCATCATATGACCCCTTAAACCAACCACTAAACATGTTCCTATGTGTTCCAATTGTTCACAACCCTGATCAGATCAACCTGACAAAACATAAAACATAATCATAGGTTTATACCTATATATTATATAATTTTCTTTTAGATTGACGTCATCAGACACGAGTGTTTGTATCAGTCCCCGAAAAGGGGTCACAAAAATGTGTACCAGTCATCGAGAACATCATTTTTTATTTCAAAATAAGAAAAATCAAAAGATAATAGAAGTGAAAACAAAACGCTGCATTAGTATCTTGTCCAAATCTCGCCAATGAACGGCCATAACTTACACATAAAAAATAGTCTCTGTTCGTATGTGCAAGATGGATTGCAGTTTGATCATCAATTACCCCAACATAGCATCTGATAGGTTCACCATCTTAATGCATTCCGTACTCGATATTCAAAATATCATTCTATTGCATTCATACTATTCTGTATTATAGGTGCAAACTGGGGAAGCATCGCTGCTATGTCATTGTCAGGTGTGCTGTCTGTCACACTAGGTTGGGAATCTTGTTTTTACGTATTTGGTAAGTTCATCAATGTTGTGTTAAATATTAAAAAAAATATTGACTGGTTGCATGAGTCGGTGTGTGATTATTACATTACATACTTTCCGATTTTCGGAAAAAATATATCCACCTCAGTGTATGTAATCGCCAAAGAGCATTCATTGGCAATATCGCAAAGAATTTTCTCAAATATGCGACATTTAGACGATTTATCATTATCATTCATACGTATCATCAGAGATTTAAACTTACACGGTATTTTTGAACACATGTAGAACACATTTCCAGCTATTATTGATTCTTTATCAATTTTTTCAAACACGTGTATAAGAAAAATTACGCGAGTGTGTCTTTTTTTCTGTTTAGGCATAATATCGCTATGCTGGTGTGTTTTTTGGTTTCTCCTAATATGGGATATTCCAGATTCTCATCCTAGGATCTCTGAAGAAGAAAGAAGTTATATTGTAAACTCCATTACTACCAACGTGAAGAAATCGGTAAATAACAAAAAATTATTGTGATTTATTAAATTAATGGTCGTTAATGATTTAAACATATATCAGCATTGCCACCACATCTAATCTTAAGGTTCTTCACATGCTTTGCTTAGGCTTTTACTAGTATCGCATGCATTCAATGCAGCAACAATTAAAGCCTTGATGCAAATCACTTAAAGATGTGAGCGAATCGCTCTCTTCACATCAGTGACAAATCTTTTGAATCAAGGAATGTTCAGACACGCTGAATATTAACATTTTTGCTGTCATTATTGAATGCCAAAACCAGTTTAGACAAAGAGACTTTCTCTAGCAACTGTCAATGAATACATGTTTATCTAGCACTGGTGGGCGCCATGTTGGTGGTTGTACACTTTCCATTTACCACTTCACTCCATACTACTCCATTCCATTGGTACTGTTCAGAAATATAATAATCTTCTGCCATTATCATTGTGTGAACTCCGTGAGTAAATTTATACTTATATAGTTCTTCTGTGAAGGTATAACGTTCTTTAGCGAAGCGCTGCCAAGAGTTTTCAATGTAAAATATATCTCATAGAATTAAATTCTTTGTCTTTTTTCAGGGTTGGCGAGTTCCTTGGCTCTCCATATTCAAATCACCACAGGTGTGGGGCCTCACAATTGGTCACTTTTGCAGCAACTGGGGTAGCTATACTCTACTGACAAGTCTTCCGCAATACATGGATCAAATACTTGGCTTCAACCTGGGAGCGGTAAGTTTGGGTTCTGGTGTATGCGTTCTTGTCACACTTGGCGTACCCAGTTCAATAACATTACGACAACCAGTGTAATTAAAAACATGTATTTTCTTTCACATATAGAACGGTTTCATGTCTTCTTTATCATCACTTGGTCTTTGGACGTTTACAATATTTTACGGTTGGTTAGCGGACTATACCAGACAGAGATACATTATGTCAACAATCCAAGTGAGAAGAGTACTGACGTCATTGGGTAATGACTGCTATATGCGTATCCACTTATGGAACGATTACGCGCGTCCTCTTAAAATAAAAACAAACATGGCAGCCCCCCCGAGTTTGACCCTATAGAAAGAAGTTTGCTCAATCTGTTATAAACTTTTTTGATTTCGGCATCCCCACGATGTATCCTTTGGAGGAAAAAATGTATAATGATAAGGTGATTACGAGGATGCCGCAAAGTATGCACTCAGACAGTACACGGTTGCATAGACCTCAGCTGTCTTCGTGCATACTTTTCGGTATCCTCGTAATAACCTCACAATATTAATTGCATTGAGGAATTATACGCCGTTGTATTTGTTTACGCTTTGCGCACGATCGCATCAGAAGATAAAATAGCGATACAATTGTTGTTTGCTGCTGTTATTAAATATACATGTATGTGCCCCTATTAATAGAACAACGTTGTCATAGCAGAAATGCAAACATACGAGTTTTACAGTGCACGGCCTATACACGCCACGCTATAGCATTCAGCAGTAATATTACGAAATGTCTAAATCTAAGCTTTGGATATCAACAAATGGTAAACGATCTTGTGGAGGATTATGTTTTTTTTATTATAATGAATAAGTTATGATACAAACTTAACGTGTATTTTCAGGTATGTTCTTACCGGCTGTTTTCTTGATGATGGGTGGACAGATCGGCTGTAATCGTGGGCTGGCAGTTTTGTTCATCACAATATCTTCTGCTTTCAGTGGATGTGGCACACCTGGTTTTAAAGTTAACCACGTTGAGATTGCACCCAAATTTGGTGGTATTTTATTCGGCATTACGAACACAGCTGGTAGTATTGCTGGATCGCTCTCACCTTTGGTTGTTGGCGCAGCAACAGCGGAGGAGGTAAATACTCCCAGATCTGATACTAGACCTGAGATAGTCCATATATAGAATCACGAATCATCATTGATGATGACGTCTGCGATTATGGGATAATATGTCAATCCTAAAAACCGAAATGTATGTACTTGCTAAACTGAATGATATATGGCAGTGAAAGCAACTTACGCGTCATGGATAACATATATTTCGATAAAATTATGTCTAGACAACCAAGTCAGTACATTCGCATATATAACTGTCTGTAGACACTCACACCCTTTGGTAGCACACGAAAAATAGTTAAACCACTTTTAATTCAATATTTTGTTGTTTTAGAATACGCGTGAACAATGGCAGAAGATTTTCGCGTTATCAGCGTTGATTTACGTCATTGGTGGAATTGCTGTTCTGCTAACTTTGAAAGTGGATGAACGGGAATGGGCCAAAGACAAGGAAGCTAGACAAAGGGACAAGACACAGCAGACAGATATGGTGGTATTTGACAATGTGGGAATTGAGAAGACTGATAGTGGAAGTGAGGATGACATATATAAACATCAAAAGCACGAATAAATCTTATTTCATGGCCTCGCTTTCAAATTAATTTAGATTAATGTTGTAGAAAATGATCTTCCTGGGAACCAGACAAGAAGACTCTTTATCCCATATTCTTTGCAGGAGAATTGCTGGCAGTCCAGATCAGACAAAATAAACATATTTGTAATAATCAACTAAAACTACCCTAATATGCGGTTGACACAAATTTTTTGGTAGCTGATATTGATTCAGCAAAATGATTTGTTTCTAACCGTGGAATACTTTGCAGAGCTGGAACTGATTTTTTGACCGAGTTTATCAACAATTATAATTTAGAAAACTTGCTGGCAAATTCCAATTTTCTATAAAAAAAATTGCATAGTTGATTGCAAGTAAGAGAAATGCGATCTATTGCATCTGAAAGGATAACTTGTTCCTCCTTGATATCAAGTCGGTTTTTTGGAAAGAGTTATTCCAGAGGTATTTCAGTGGATGAGGCGGGCTACTAGTGTAAATGACATTTTTTATGTGCACAATAACCTTGAAATTGCAGAACAAAATTTACAAATTTGGAGAAATTATCTTAGACTGCACTGGATCATACCGGACACAGTGACAAAACTATTTCCATTCAGTATTTTGCATAATTATTTGGCTGTAAATTATTGTTGTATAACGTGGACAATTAGAGAAGACGATTCGTATACTCTTTGTGAGGAGCATTTTAAAACAATTACACACTTGCTACTGTTGATGTAGAAAGACAAACACCATTTACCCACAGGTCATTATGACTTGAATGAAAGTGCCATTTTTAATTATGTGATTGGAAAAAATCATATTTAATTGTCATACTGAAAATAAGACTTTATTTTTATTTAACTTTATAAGTAATTTAGAAGTATTTTTCAATTGAGCAATATTATAGTCTGTAAAAATAAAGCCAAACAAACAAAACAAACAGTGTTCGTTAGTGGCAATGACATACTATATTCATGACTAACTGTACTTGTTCTTTCTTTGTTATTCTTTCTTCTTGTGATTGTCTTTTCGTCGTGTAACACTAACAATAAAAAAACGCCGGGCATTTTGCGGTCCGAGAGCCTTGTGAGACCGTTGTCATAGCAGTAAAACAAAAATCTTTAGAATGTAAAGGACTCCTTGATGAAATTAAAAAAAAAAACTAAAAGAAAACTTTAGCTATTATACTGTGTCAATATTATTACCCTACCACAGTTCACCGACAAAATACGAATGGCATGATATACAAATTCAAAAACTTTCCAACTCGCCGCGACGATTGCCAGATTTTCACTGTCTAAGGAAAAAAGTTAACACTCACAAAAAACTTTTGTTGAACACGACAATCTTGATTGCAGCAGCCATTGCAGCTCTCATGATCAGTATGATATTCGCGTTTGTTCCATATTTTTGCAGCAGAACAGACTGCGGCTTATTAAGACTTCTAGGGGTTGCCTTTGATGGAAGTACGAAATCATTAAATTTCGGTGAATATACGGGTACGATTACTATATAAACAACATTTTAATTTTTTTTTAATTATAGATTAACATTTCATATACATATCTTTATAAATTTGCAGGTGAGGTTGCCAAACAACAATTTCGGAGAAATCTTTTTCATTTATAACTGAAAAATTTATGGATGTATTGACTAATGTTTTCATCGTATGAATATGGGACGATAACTTTAGGTGTAACTCGCAATATGAGCTGCTTGCTTGGTGAAGATGTGCGAGTTCTTTCTAGTTTACCAAATTTCAACCTGGGATTATCAGGAAACTGAACTTATGGTGACTCGAAGAACAATATATCTGCTATTGTTTTGACTGTCACTTATTGTGTACGACAA